AGGTTTTCCAGCTACAGAGTTCCCTCTAAGTAGTGCTTCAGCTGCAGCCTTTAATTTTGGTGTGGTGTATTTTTGCTTTCATTCACCTCACAGTACTTTCTAATTTCCTTTGTGACTTCTTCTTTTACCCACTGGTTATTTATGAGTGTGGTAATTTCTACATATTTGTGAATTTCCCAAATTTGTTATTGATTTCTCATTTCAGTCCAATGTGTTTGGAGGACATTGTAGGATTTCAATCCTTTATATTAATTAAACCTTGTTTTATGGCCAAGCATAAGGTCTAGCCTAAGGTTCATGTGCTATTGGGAAGAATACATATTCTATTGTTGGGTGAAGTGTTCTGTAGATGTCTACTAGGTCTGTCTGTTTATACTACTCAAGTAATTTATTTCCTTGTTATCTTCCTATTTGTTCTGTCCATTATTGAAAGTTGGGTACTGAAGTCTCAAACTATTAATACTGAATTGTCTTTTTTTCTCTTTTCAATTTGGATAGTTTTTGCTTCATATATTTTGGGGCTCTACTGTTACATGCAATTATGTGTATAACTGTTGTATCTTTTTGATGGATTGACCCTTATATCCTCATAAAAATCTTCTCTTTGTTTCTAGAAACATAAATTAAGATGATATAGAATATAACAAGAAAATTTACATTAGAAGTAAACAAGAAATTTGTTCATTGAAAATTTAGGGAACAGTGCTTCCACCATGACCCAGAACTCTTGAGGTCTTTAACTAAGGAAGGTGTTCGCTTATCCAAAAACTTCTCCTCTGGTCTAATCTAAAGGTAAATTACTTTGCCTTTTTTTTCAGGTTAGAATCGTTGGAAGTTTTACTCTTGCTCTATTCTACCACTTACCCCTCCCCCCCGTAAAATCCTATTTTTGTAATGTTTACTAGCTAGTTCTAAATTTTTAAGACTTTAGCATACTCAATACCACAATATGTGATTTAGACCTTAATGATGAGACTCATTATAATTATTTGAAGATTCCATTACCTTGTAACCAATGTTTCCAGAATCCTAGCACCAAGACCCTGTCAGTATTTAAGAGATGATTTATATAGTCTAATTCCAAACTATGATCAATAGTATCATGCCGGGAGCCGGTCCATCCTTGCTGTTTCAAGGGACCTGGCACATATGGCATACTGTTAATATGTTTGCTCACCTTCTTGGCACTATGTGTTTTAACCAAGGTCACCTCTCTGAGAAAGGTTGTTTCCCCAGGTAGGGATTTTCCCCTGAAGTTAGGGAGGGAATAAAACCCCTTAACTAAGTGCCAGGCGGGTAATTAATCACTTTAACTACGAACAATCATGCTTCAGCTACATAATCTTTACTCCCTGGAATGGAGATAAGAAACGCCCTAACCTTTGGAATAGAGATTGATAGGATTGGAATCAACTGGTATAAATACAGATGTAACAAGACAACAGGACACAGAACCTACACACAGAACCTAGACACAGAACCTAGACATAGAACCTACACAGAACCTAGAGATAGAAGAACTTCGCTGGAGAGAACATGGCAAAAGATCCTGGACAGAAACTGGAGACAGAACCTAGAGACAGAACCTAGTGAGAGAACATGGCAAAAGATCCTGGATAGAAACTAGACACAGAACCTAGACACAGAACCTCGACACAGAACCTACACAGAACCTAGAGACAGAAGAACTTCGCTGGAGAGAACATGGCAAAAGATCCTGGACAGAAACTGGACACAGAACCTAGACACAGAACCTACACAGAACCTAGAGACAGAAGAACTTCGCTGGCGAGAACATGGCAAAAGATCCTGGACAGAAACTGGCCACAGAACCTAGAGACAGAACCTAGCGAGAGAACCTGGCTGAAGAACCTAGAGACAGAACCTGGCTACAGAACCTGGATAGAACATGGCAAGAGAGCCTGACTAGAACCTGGTGACTGAACCTGGCTGGAGAACCTGGACAGAACCTGGCTGGAGAACCTAGCGAGGGAACCTGGCTGGAGAACCTAGCAAGAGAACATGGACACAGAACCTGGCTGGAGATCCTAACCAGAACTTCGCTGGAGATCCTGACCAGAACTTGGCTAGAGATCCTGGCTAGGCTGCTGATCAACTGAACGCTGTCTCCGTGTCATTCCTTCTTCGCTGACTCTGTCCACACCTTTGGGGACCCCTGGACCTGCTGGGGTGGGACCCCAGCAGTATCAGATTTAAAGATTACATGTTCTACTTATTTTATCAGATTATACACAGTACTTCTAACTTACTTCTAGAGGTTAACCATAGGAAGATACTTTCTACCTATGATGATTAACAAAAGTTAATTTCCATTAACCCTAAGGAAGGAATTTTTTTAAACAGTGACTTCCACAAGTGTAATGAAAATGTGACTCATTATTTTAAAAAGTATGCAGACAGCTTGGGTAGGATATTTCTCTAAATGACAGCAACACCCCTATCTTCCATTGCTTGGTTTCAAGCCTCTCTTCAAAAAAGAGATGTTGGGGGCTTTCCTCAATGTCTGGAGGTCTAGCTATCTGTTTACATTAAAGAGTTATGACCTGTAAACCCTGTATGCAATAGCAGTTTATTTTAACTAGTGGAATTCATCAAAGGGTGACCTGGTAGTGAGACAGCTTTTTCATAATGGGCCCTTGAAAATCTCTATTTATAGGTCTTTCTCTATGTCCACTCAATGTCTCCAGAGTTTTTAACTTTGTATCAGAAAATATATGTCTGATTGACAGGCATTCTACAAACAGGGTTAGAGAAGGGAGCTAGGGATTGCATCTTTCAGTATGTAAACTTACATTTAGTCCCTGGCTACCAGAATTCTTGGAGATAAGCAGAATAGCGATACTCTTAGATTTCAATAATCAATAGGTACATTTCCACTTAATCACTTTATTGATAGACCGATACACCTATCTTTTGCTGTGCCAGGTATTCCTGAATCTGTAACTCTTCAGTTCAATTTCTACAGGAAATAAACTTCCATTCTCCTTTGCAAAATGTAGGCGTGGTAGTTGAGTATACTATGTGGAATGGAAGACTAGATCTGTGAGTTTTACAACTTCTTTCAATAATTTTTCCAATATGCAAACAAAATATTTTTCTATTTAGGCAGATTCATTGTGAAATTAAAATGCAACTGGGGAAAAACCTTCCCAAATTAAACATTTAATTCCATAAAAATACATAAATCTACATGATTCAATAAGGTTCAACAATGTAGTCCAAAGTTATAAGAAAACTTTGTAATAAGCTAGTATTTTGCAAAACTGGGAGGGAGCTAGGTTATAAGAAAAAAGTAGAGAGCCATGATGAAACTAAGAAATAAAAAGGAAAAGTGGGGTGGGAGAGAAGCATTACATTTTAGTGCCAATATTCAGATGGAATATTCTCATATGATATTTGAAATAGAAAAGTATTCCCATGCATGTAAAAGTTGTTGTTTTTTTTTCTTAATCCTCACTCGAGGATATTTTTTCCATTGATTTTTAGAGAGAGTGGAGGGAGGGAGGGAGAGAAACAGAAAAAGAAAAAAGAAACATCGATGTAAGAGAGACACATCGATTGGTTGCTTTCTGCAGGTGCTCTATCAGGACCAGGGACCGAGCCTGCAACTGAGGTATGTGTCCCTGACCGTAATCAAACCCAAGACTCTTCATTCCACGGGCCAATGCTCCAATCACTGAGCAAAACCAGCCAGGGCCACCCATACAACAGTTTTTAAAAATTATTTGAAAACATGACACAGCTACAGATTACTTCATAGTTTTCATAACTTCAGCAAAAATAAGCACAACTGCCAAACCGGTTTGGCTCAGTGGATAGAGCGTCGGCCTGCGAACTGAGGCGTCCCGGGTTCGATTCCGGTCAAGGGCATGTACCTTGGATGCAGGCACATACCCAGTAGGGGGCGTGCAGGAGGCAGCTGATCGATGTTTCTCTCTCATCAATATTTCTAACTCTCTATCCCCCTCCCTTCCTCTCTGTAAAAAATCAATAAAAATATATTAAAAAAAAAAAAATAAGCACAATTAGAGTTAACTTATTTTTTTCCACAAAGGCTTATTTGTAACTTTAAAAAATTTTAGGCATCCACTCTAGCTTTTTATTAGGACATGTCAAAACAGAACACTGACTATTAATCACAGTTTTCTGGTGTTTAAGATTCTATGTATGAGTGATGCCATGTGGTATTTGTTTTTAGCTTAGTTCTCTTAGCACAAAGCCCTTTAGGTTGGTAACTGTCACAAAACAGAGGTTTCTAATGAACAATTCAGAATTCCATCTAATGAGTTAGCTATTCTAAATAAAAAAAGGACCAATAAACTGGTATATGAAATAAACCACTTTGTTCCTGGTCTATAAACAATTGTGCCGTGAAATCAGAGCTATTACAATAATTTTCTTTTAATAACACTGATTATATACTTTTCAACACCAGTTTATCAAGTGGAGAGAAAAAAAGGGAGTTCCCCCTCAACCCCAAGAAACATTTTCAGTTCTAGAAAATGATTCTACCAAATAACACTGCAATAAGTGGGCCATTGTCTGGAATTTAGAATGAGTCTTTGTTAGATAATTAGGAGCCATTATTACTTAAAGTAAGAATGTGTCTTTTTTCACAAGAAACTTTCATTTCCTTTTAAAAAAATTATTCACTGAGGGCTCTGGTTAGAGTCTGATTCCCTGTCAAAGACTTGTACCAGGGTTGCAAGTTCTATCCCTGGCCACAGTTGGGGGTTCCAATTGATGTGTCTCTCTCACACAGATGTTTTTCACTCTCTCTCTCCTCCCACCTCCATCCTTCCCTTCCACTCTCTCTAAAAACCAATAAAAATACCCTTAGGTGAGGATTAATAAAATAAAACAAAACAAAACAATAGCCAAAAAGTCATTTAGATAATTATTCTTGTTATATAATTAGTGATTATGTAACTTTAGAAAGTGTACTTTATCCAGCTGAGGGAGGAAAATGTACTACTTACATTTTTCCTTATTGCCATTGGTATTATGCAAGAAGTCTCCATCAGAACGCGTTGTAGGAAAGTCATCTTCATCATCTTCTACCACTAAATAAAATATATTTAAGGATATTAGGATGAAAGAAAATAGAAATTAACCAAGTTATTCTTAGGTTCAATTGAGTCAATACATTCTGGATTCTTTTGAGTGCAAGATCTAATTCATTTTTGTATTTTCAGTGCTTATCAAAGTATGCCCAACAAATATGCTGTAGAATTTAATACATTATTATAAAAACTGTATGCATTCTCATTTGTGTGAGGGATGGTATTAAGATATGAGTTATTTTGCCCTTTAGTCTTCCTACCTCTTCCTACCTACCTTGGGGCAATCTCGTAATTCCATCAGAAGCCTATAATGGCTGAGCAGGACTGTAAAAGGATAACTTCCATGCAGAAAATACCTTAGCTTGCTTCTGGGAGTTCCTAAATTTACCATTTCTAAACATGCAGGAAAAATATAATGATTTACAGGTGTGATTATCGATTTTCATTCATCCCAGTGTGTGCCTAGAAATCCTTTTAACTTATCCAATTCTATAAAGATCAAAATCCTGTGTTCCCCTCTGTTTATCTCTTTGTTCTATTCACTTTTTTTTTTTACTGCCTAACATACTTTAACCTTCTGCACTATATATTGCACTTTTTTTTCTTCTTTTTAATGTATTTTATTGATTTCAGAGAGGAAGGGAGAGGGAGAGGGAGAGAAAGAGGGAGGGAGGGAGGGAGGGGGACAGGGAGAGGGAGAGAGGGAGAGAGGGAGAGAGGGAGAGAGGGAGAGAGGGAGAGAGGGAGAGAGGGAGAGAGGGAGAGAGGAGAGAGAGAGAGAGAGAGAGAGAGAGAGAGAGAAACCAATGATGAAAGAGAATCACTGATAGGCTGCCTCCTGCATGCCCCCTACTGGGGATCGAGCCCGAAACCCAGACATGTGCCTGACCAGGAATGATACTAGTACTGTGACCTCCTGGTTCATAGGTCAACCCTCAACCACTAAGCCACACTAGCCAGGCTATATATTCCACTCTTAATGTAAATTTCTAAACCTCAGCCCCCAATCTTATTCTCTGCTTTCTATCAAGTGCTCCTAGTAAGGCTTCTTTATTGTATTATCTTTTCAGAAACACTCTTTTTGTAGAAATAATCTTCACTCTAAACTGTTGTACTTCTTGATTTTATCTCTTTACAAGGAGTAGCTCATCCATTTTAGTTGTCTTCCCAATAGATGCAAAGCCCATTCCTATTCCTTATTCCCTCCCTTGACTAAATGGTAGAAATCACCATGGAGAATACCTTTATTCTGTATTGCCATTTCTAACTAGTGGGCTATTTCATTTTTTTATAATTATTGGGCTAGTTCATCACTTCAAAATTCTGCTACTCATCTTTAACAGCTTTTTTAAACCATAAGCTGCTATTATCTACTAACAATATTCAGCCAACTGACACCAATATCTGACACTGTTTTTTCCTAGTCCATCATTCCTATAGACTTCAATATCCATAATGAAGCCTCTGCAGATACCTAAATCTCAAGATTAATCAAATCCCAAATTCTGTGGATCGTTATTGTCTCATCAATCATTTGTAAATATGGTCAATTCTAGAAATTTATTAACAGCACATTGCTGTTTTGAAATCAGTATTCATCATCAGACAAGATTCTGATCCTGATCTTGACTCACTACTACTCTGATTAACTGCTCTTAACCATCTGTACGCAATAAGCGTCTATAGACGCAAGTGGCAGACCTTTTTAAATTAAATTCAAAATATCGTGGCAGTTAACTGGTTAAACACCGAAAGGCTTGCACTTCACTCTTATCATCATCAGTATCTTCTTTGGATTACTGAAGATTCACTTTCATGTCCCTAACTACCCAATAGCTTGTACCACCAAACAGGGATTTTCAACCTTGTTTTTTGAGCCCAATACTCAATATATAAAACTGATGAAAACAAGAGCCTCTCTGGCTAAAGACTGGCCTTTCCCCTTTCTTTTTAACCAAGTAATCCTTTGTCCATTCTTGAGGCACCTTTAAGGGATATCAGACATGGATTGAAACCACTGTTCTAATATAAATCCCCTATCTCAATCAGATCAGTTTCCCTTACCAACACAAACTGATTATGCTAAATTCCATCTCTGGATATTACACATTCCTGCTTTCTGTATCCCTGCAATAACCCAAATTAATTACATTAATAATACCAGCTATTATTTGTTTTTGTTTTTTTGCTGTTAAGCACAGTGCTAATATATACAGTTCTTATTTTAATTGTCACAATTGTATGTGCTGGATATAACATCTATTTTACAGTCAAGGAAACAGATATGAAGAAATGTTTCCTCAATGAATAGAGTATTTCCTTTAATGTGGTACATATGTCTTATTTTACAATCAAGCAGTATGCTTAGGTTAAAGATAATGTCTTCAACTTCTGTAATCCCAGAGTATCTAAGACCTAAAGGGTTAATTAAATCTTACTGAAGAATGTGTGGGAGTGGTGGAGGTCAAGGTTAAGACGGCCTTACTAGCAATTCTGATAAAACATTTTATATGAAAAAAACTGATGATCACCTAAAATAAAGAGAATTTGCTATTACCATTTCAATGACACATTTACTGAAGAACAGTAATTCTTAAAATTCACAGACTTGATAATTTAATGAAAGTGCACCTATAGAGATTCCCTAAGACATAGGTCAGCATCTCTGATCTACAATCAAAATAGAAAACTAAGGTCCATGTCCTTATTTTGCCTTTATCCAACATGTATTCTTAAAACTGTCAATATTTCTAAAAAGAGCAATTATAGAAAAAAACAATTGTTATAGGCAGACTTGTGTACCCCTAAAATCCATATGTCAAAGTCCTAACTCCCCCATAGCTCAAAACGTGAATGTATTTGGAGACAGTGACTTTATGGACATAATCAGTAGGCCCTGATCCAATATGACTGATGTCCTTATTAGAGGAAGAAATTTGGACACAGAAGAAAGATGACATAAAGACCCAGGGAGAAGACGAACATCTATAAGCCAAGGAGAGAGGACTCAAACAGTTCCTTCCCTCATGGCCCTCAGAGGGAACTAACCTTGCCAACACCTGATCTCAGACTTCCAGCCTCCAGAACTGTAAAAAAATTAATTTCTGTTGTTTAAGCCACCCAGGCTGTGGTACTAATGCAGCAGTCTACCACTGTTATCAGTTATTCAAAATGAATAATGTTTAAAATCATTTTTCAACTTTTCTACACAACCTGGTTATAACTGCAGCCCAACTTCTACTCCTCTCGCTATCACTTTTGTCTTTCAAATGGTATATACTTTTGATGTGGATCATCTATAATAATAAAAGCGTAATATGCTAATTAGAATGGACAGCTTAACGACCTTCCAGACGTCCTTCCGGATAACCTCCCGGACGAAGCAGGGGCTGCGGGGGCTGAGGCAAGCCACCACAGCTGTGAGGGCTGAGCCCCTTGCACGAATTTCGTGCATTGGGCCTCTAGTTTAAAAATAAACAAGGAACCCTAGCTGGTTTGGCTCAGTAGATAGAGCGCTGGCCTGTAGATTGAAGAGTCCCAGATTTGATTCCCAGTCAAGGGCACATACCTCAGTTGCAGGCTCAATCCCCGGCACTGTATGGAAGGCAACCATTTGATGGGCCCCTGGCTGATACCATAATCAGCAGATGTCCAAGTCTGTCTCACATCAATGTTTCTCTGTCTCCCCCTATCCCTTCCACTCTCTTAAAAAAAAAAAAAGGTAAAATAAAAAATAAACAAGGAATCCAATTCAGATATATACTGATTTAGTTTAAAGGGATATTTTCAAGCAAATCAAAGTTGATGGGTAATGTTTAATTTGGTAAAAAGGCTACATACAGTCAGCTTTCTGTATCTGTGTATTCAACTAACCATGGACTGAAAATAATTGAAGAAAGTTACATCGTTGCTGACATGTACTTTGTTGCTAGGCCTACAATGATTTTGTCTGTACTGAACGTGAACATACTTTTTTACCCCTTGTCATTATTCCCTAAACAATACATTATAACAACTATTTATATAGCATTTACATTGGATTAGGTATTATAAGTCATCTAGAGATGATTTAAAGTATATAGGAGGATATGTGTAGGTTATATGCAAATATTACTCCATTTTATATGAGGAACTTGGACATCTGCTGATTATCTATCAGCTAGGGTTTGGGGGTCCTAGAACCAATCCCCTGTTCATACTGAGGGACTATTACATATATATATGTATATGTGTGTGTGTATATATGTATTTTAATGAAGGAGAAATAGCTCAACTACCTTTATTTTTAGAGAAATAAACATCCAATGTTAAAGAACCAAAAACTTAAAGTGTATCAAATATAAAAAACGTCAAAGCTACTTATTTTGTCTAAATTTTAAGAGATATGGCCTTCTGCTTCTGGCCAAGACAGAATAAAGGAACTGAATTTACCTCTAGCATGAAATTAAAACCTGGACAAAATATATGAAACAATGGTTTTCAAGAACACTGTACATTTGGCAAAAAAAGATTTGATAAAACATTTTATATGAAAAAAACTGATGATCACCTATAAGTGGCAAGATCTGAACTCTATGAGTATCCCACTTACTGCCTTGGGAGAGATTCCAAGCTGTAGAGTAAGGAGGAACCCAGGAGAAGCTCAGTAGACTCTCTGAGGTGAAGAAATGGAGCTGAGTCCAGAGAGACAAAGGCAACTAGAGTTCACATGAGAGAATACTAGAAAGGAGACAGCTGTATAGAGAGAGAACCCAGAAGATTGAAAGAAGGGTCCCCTTGAGTATTCAGCAGAGTGCTGATAGCACATACAAATGAGGGAACTATAGAGGTCAGGGAAAGAACCAACTAAGAGGATTCCAGGAAAAAGTTTCCTTAGAGTACTTGATGTACATTACTTAAGATATATGGTGATAAATGAAATGAAACCATGTCATGCAACTTAGTTATACTGTGAATAAAAGTAGTGCTATTTAGCAATAATTTGCCTTCACAGCAAATAAGAGAAAAACTGAAGAACAGATGTTGACAACATCAGTAATATATCTTCAGCAGTAACAAAGGAAAAGTTCAAAACTCACATTATAAGTTAATTGAAGATTATATTTATTAACAAAACTCACTATATTCTTAAATGTATACATAGCTCAATTATTGATTTCCTCTTCCATAAAACAGAGGCCAGAGAAGGGAGAGTGATAAAGAGAGGAAGATGAAAAGAGAAAGACAGAGAGGAAGGAGGAAAAAAAAAAAAGAGGAGAACGAGATCAATTGATTCCAGACTGGAGGATTTAATATAAACATATGCCTATCTCTAAGATTCATCATAGGGTAAATATATTAGACATAATTATATAAAATGCCCCATATTACTAAGATGACAGATGCTATTTTTTAATAAAATAAAGAACTTAAAAATCATTTAAAAATCTTCATTGGAATCTAGTAGGTATGAGTGATCAGAATAATTAAGATGTGTTATTAAAGTATACAAGTTATATAGACACTGAAATCTGTTACATTGGGGGTTTGCAGCAAAAGTGACTATTAATTACCTTTATCAGTTAAAGACATTACCCTTTAAGATCAAGAGGCTTTACATCCATTCATTCTCCAAGTAAAAATAGTGGTAATAGCCTAATTAACCTTTATCCCTTTGAAGTTCATCCTTGGAGACAGCATCAGCACAGGCATCAAAGTACTTCTGTAGAGTATCAACTTGTCTACATAGGATATCTCTAAAGGTTTCCATTTCAGCCAATTTCTCACGTAAACTGTGGCCTTTCTGCAAAACACAAAAAAGGGGGTGGGGGATGTAATCTAAATGAACAAAACTGTAATTTATTTAGTCCTATTGTATTTCATCACTTTTTAAGGTCTATATCTTACTAATGAGGGCCATTGGGTAGGGAGAGCCGTCAACTTGAAACTGATTAACAGTGACCAGATAGTGATAAGCCTGAAGGAAATAAGGGACAAATAAGCCTGACAATTTGCTCATGTAAAATTTAGTATTTTCAAATGATTGACATTGTGAGAAAAAAACTGTCAAAGTTTTCTATATACACAATGGAATACTATGCTGCTGTAAAAAAGAAGGAATTCTTACCATTTGCAACAGCATGGATAGAACTGGAGAGCATTATGCTAAGTGAAATAAGCCAGTCAATGGAAGAAAAATACCACACGATCTCACTCGTTTATGGATAATAAAGACCATTATAAACTGAAGAACAAAAATAGGTACAGAGGCAGAGCAGCATTGAACAGACTGTCAAACTACAGCGAGAAGGCTGGGGAGAGTTGGGGGCGGGAAGGGGGGGGGGTAAGAGATCAACCGAAAGACTTGTATGCATGCATATAAGCATAACCAATGGACATAAGACACTGGGGGGTAGGGGAGGCCGGGGGAATATCAAGGGGGGGCGGGGAAGAGACATATGTAACACTCTTTTTAATACTTTAAGCAATAAAAATAAAAAAATAAAATAATTGTCAAAGGCTTTAAAATGGGAAAAAATATTACTGGATATCCTTTCAAAGGAATGGTGTGTGCTATCTATGGAACCTTAGCATTTATGGAATGTTGTCTAATCATATAGAAGTCTTTGATTTCATTACATTTGGCCTATTTTATAACTCTTTAAGTAGTAGAAAAATAAGAGTAATGGAAATGATTTTTGGCCAGATATGCAAATGAACCTTGTTTGTGGAGATACACTAGTTTCTAATCTGTGGATACCGAACAGTTTTGCATATATTAGCAAAATCATTTTGGCATTCTTCAGATTCTCCTTTGAACCAATTTATTTTTACGTCTTATCTATTAATGAAAAAATCTTTGATGTGTTCATTTTCTATTTGTATGAGTCATAAATGTTAACCCTTAAAAAATTATTCTGAACTTAAAATAAATTACATTGTAGAGAAGTTCTTTTGAAAAAACTATTAAATAAGTTCTGTTCACAACATTCAGTAATAAATTCAATTTATGAGGCCTTAACTTAAAGCATTCAAAACCACAAACCTTGAATGAAGAGGTGGATGTTGCAGAATAGCCACTTGCTCCAGACACCAGTGACACCATTGAACCATGTCGACGCAAGCTGGATTCAGATCCATAACCAGATTCAGTCTAAAAAAGAAAGTAAACTACATGAAAAAAAAAATTAAAGAAAAACTACTTAATCATCACAAGAAAAAATTGTAACTGTGTGAGATGATAGATGTTTAACTTATTGTAATCCCTTCACTATATATGTGTGCTTGTTGTACACCCTGCTGACATATATAAATGCTACAATCATTATGTTGTACACCTTAAATTGCTACTAGAATATGTTAATTGTACCTCAATAAAACTGGAAAAATACTTAAGAATAAACAAGAGTTCTCCTATAAAGTAATAAGGCTGTTATAAAAACTGGATAGGACAAAGGCAAAAAGTAAAAATAATAGGAAATGGGCTAAGATGTCTTGAACCACTTTTAATCCTTTTTGTAGCACAAAGAAATAAACAGTAAGTTTTAAAAAAAGTAAAAATGAGGAAAACTTGCAGTACTATTTCTTTATAGTACTATTTCCAGTACTATCATTTATCACTGTCTCAATGAAACCTCTCCTATTACATTAGGCAGTTTGTCTCTGTATTCTCAACCATTCTTCACATAACACAATTATAGCATTTACTGTATACTTGGTTATATTTAGATTTTATAATTACTATGGAACTTGGTTCTTCTGGAAAAAGACTGTATCTTTTTCATTTTTGTAGCCACCTCAATAGTTCATGTTACACAAAAAATTCTCAACTTTACCAGTCTGTTATGAAAAATAATTGAACTCCAGGATATTGGGGTATACTTAGACTTGGCACTGTAATAATCGTATATAATAAAAGCTGAATATGCAAATTGTCCCCTTGGGTGGGAGTTTGACTGACCGGGAATTCGACCGCTCGCTGTGATGTGCACTGACCACCAGGGGAGGGCGCGAAACACTGGCAGCAGGCGGCACTAGAGGTGCTGCCAGCCCTGAGGGGTCTGATGAGAGCGGGACTGCAGTGGGATGGTGGAGCAGGTGAGTGGGCAGCGCCAGGCCAAGGCGGGTGTGAGCGGGGGCCCGACTGCCCTGCAGACGGCAACCAATAGCAGCAGCAGGGGGCAGGGCCGCCACCCGCCTCCCAGGCGTTGAGGGAGCTGGGCAGAGGGCCTGGCCCTGATAGATCGCCCCATAGACGGTGACCAGCGGTGGGGCTGGGAGCAGGCCAACCCAGGTGAGAGTGGAGGCCCCGATCGGCAGGGGTTGGGATGAGCAGGCGGCGCCAGGCCAAGGCTGGGTGCCAGGTGTGGCTGTGAGACTGGGGCTGTGAGGCTGGGGGAGCAAGCTAGGGCCTGATCTCCACAGACCACCCCAAGGGACCCCACCCGTGCACGAATTTTGTACACCGGGCCTCTAGTACTTTTATATAATTCTGATGTAGTTGTACTCTTCAGAGCATCAACTTTATATTCACCCTCCCTATGACAAATGCAGTACCAATAAAATAGACAAAGGAATTGTACATTAAAAAAAAACCTTCCAAGTACAGTTAACCCTCAAATTTTTGGACAATTTAATGGACTTTGGATGTAATAGTCACATTCTGGTCTGTATGTCATACATGAAAATTAACACCCTGTTAATTTTAAAATTCTTTTAACCAAGATTTGCTTATAATTAACAGGTTATTCTTTTGTTATTAATACACTGTCATTTTAAAAATATATATATATTTTTATTGATTTCAGAGAGAAAGGGAGAGGGAGAGAGAGTACAGAAACATCAATGATGAGAAAGAAACACTGGTTGGCTGCCTCCTGCATGCCCCACAAGGAGGATGGAGCCAGCAACCTGGGCATGTGCCCTGTTGATCAGGAATCAAACCGTGACCTCTTGGTTCATAGGTCAACTCTCAATCACTGAGCAACACCACCAGGCCTCACTGTCATTTTTAAAAACATAAATTTTATTAATTTCAGAGAGGAAGGGAGAGGGAAATAGAAACATCAATGATGAGAGAGAATCATTGATCGGCTGCCTACTACACACCCCCCGCACCCCCCGCCCTGGGAATGGAACCAGCAACCTGGGCATGTGCCTGACCAGGAATCAAACAGTGACCTACTGGTTCATAAGTTGACGCTCAACCACTGAGCCACTCCTGCCAAGCTCACTGTCATTTTTAACAAATTTTAGAGAATAGACCATATGTTGGAAAAAACACTGTAGTAATTCTGCTGACATATATAAATATTACATATCTACAACTATAGTATATATATTTGAATCCAAGAGTCACTACTTGCAAACAATGTTCGGTCAATGATTAGCAGGTAATCACAGTGCATCACACACAGTAATTGGTTCTGCTGTTGCATGGTGTAACTTTCTGCAGCAGTTTTAACTTGTGTGCTGGCCAAGTTCCTACGTGCGCTAAGCCACGGCCCAGCCATGTGGCATTTACTTACTCGAGTTGACTGATGATTGCACAAATGTACTAGATCTATTCAGTATAAATTTAAAATTATAGTATTACATATAGAAAACTTCTCTGTGAAATTAAACTTTTCATACATTTTAATTATACAAACATGTCTACATAAGTAAAAATAGGTAAACTAATTTGTCAATTTTTTATTGTACACACTTGGAAAACCTACTTTATTATATAACTAGAGGCACGGTGCACAAAAATTTGTGCACTCGGGGTGGAGGTCCCTCAGCACGGCCTGTGCCCTCTCGCAGTCTGGGACCCCTTGGGAGATAACGACCTGTTGGCTTAGGCCTGCTTCCGGGTGGCAGAGGACAGGGTAGGGCCGATTGGGGGGTTGGGGCACCACCCCCTGTCACACTCAAGGCAGGGTTGATGGGGAGGTTGCGGTGCCACCCCCTGTCACACACAGAGCAGGGCCAATCAGGGGGTTGGGGTGCTGTCCCGTCACGCACAGAGCAGGGCCAATCAGGGGGTTGGGGAGCTCCCCCGTCACGCAAAGAGCAGGGCCCATCAGGGGGTTGGGGAGCTCCCCCTTGTCACGCACAGAGCAGGGCCCATCAGGGGGTTGGGGAGCTCCCCCGTCACTCACAGAGTAGGGCTGATAGGGGAGTTGGCGCACCGCCCCCTGTCACACACAGAGCAGGGAGGATCAGGGGGTTGGGGCGCCGCCCTCTATCACCCACAGAGCAGGGCCGATCAGGGGGTTGGGGTGCCGCCACTCTCACACTCAGGGCAGGGCCGATGGGGAGGTTATGGCTCTACCCCATCACACAGAGAGCAGGGCCCGTGGGGTGGGGGGTTTGGGGCACCGCACCCTGTCACACACAGAGCCACAGGGCGATCAGGGGGTTTGGGCGCTGCCCCCTGTCACGCTGATCCCGGTGCCGGGAGGCCTCTCAGCTCCGCTGATCCCAGTGCTGGGAGGCATACTACCCTTTTACTAAATAGAATAGAGGCCTGGTGCATGGGTGGGGGCTGGCTGGTTTGCCCTGAAGGGTGTCCTGGATCAGGGTGGGGGTCCCCACTGGGGTGCCTGGCCATTCTGGGTGAGGGGCTGAGGGCTGTTTTCAGGCTGGCGGATGACTGAAGCTCCCAACTGCTCCTTTTTTTCTTTTTTCTTTTTTATTCTGGGCCAGCTTTAGCTCTGAGGCTTGGCTCCAGTTCTGAGGCCTCAGCTGCTGAAAACAGGTATCTGGTTTGTTTAGGTTCTATAATCGAAACTCTGTATCAACTCCAGCTCTGAGATCCCAGCCGGCTGAAAGCTGGTTTCTGGTTTTTTTTTTAGCTTCTATATTTGTTACAATGTTTGAAACTGCAGGCTCAGAGGCTGGCAAGGCAGGCGGGGAACGTTGGAGTCCTCCGTCACTGAAGCAAGCAAGCCTCATGTTAGTTTCAAGCTGCCTGGCTGCCGGCCGCCATCTTGGCTGGTAGTTAATTTGCATATCGCCCTGATTAGCCAATGGGAAGGGTAGCGGTCATACGCCAATTACCGTGTTTCTCTTTTATTAGATAGGATGGACTTTCGGCTTTACTGGACAGCCCCTTGCCCGAATTATTATATCGTGATTTTACCGTACTTGAAACATGTTCAAGTATTTTAGATTTCTGATTACTTCCTACTGCTATTTTTTAAAGTACTGTGCATGACATTAACCCTAGTCTCTAAATCAGGGGTCCTCAAACTACGGCCCACGGCCACATGCAAATACAAATACTATATTTGTTACCGTTTTGTTTTTTTACTTCAAAATAAGATATGTGCAGTGTGTTCATAGTTTTTTTTTAAACTATAGTCCGGCCCTCCAATGGTCTGAGGGACAGTGAACTGGACCCCCGTTTAAAAAGTTTGAGGACCCCTGCTCTAAATTTAAGAGGTAAAATAACATCTAATTATTCTTGGCATACACATAATAAAACTCAATCATCCCATTAAAATAGTAGTTGTTTAGATTACTTGATTTTCAAGATTAAGAGTATGAATCATTAAAATTAAGTACAATATATTGTAGAAAGTATTTCCATTGACATTTTACATCCTCTGTGCTCTCGTTCCTAAAAATCCATTACATTTCCTATATAGCTGTTGGTTTAGCCCTGACATTATTCTAACTCAGTGATGGCGAACCTATGACACACGTGTCAGAGGTGACATGCGAACTCATTTTTTTGGTTGATTTTTCTTTGTTAAATGGCATTTAAATATATAATACGCCGAGCTCAAAAGGTTCACCATCACTGTTCTAACTGGACAATGTTTTTCTAGGTACAGAATATCAAGCTTTTATACTGATTTAACTAATAAATAAAATTATATTATTTTTATGTAAATAATATTAACACTAGTTTAATACACTTTTCCAGTTCAGTATTACTTCATTAGTTAAAGTTTATATTCTAGGAAGGAGGAGGAGGAGAAGGGAGTTAGAGGGAGAAAGGAGCTAAAAAAAATTCGTAACCAAAATAGCAAAACAACTCATTAAAAAAATATATCTTCAGGCAAAGACATTAGAAATTTATCCATGTGACAAACGCAGCCTCTTAAAATTCAAACTTTCAGCATATACAAGTCAGCAAACACCAAACAAAATGATAATTGTTAT